CCCTGGCTGATCATTAGTGAAGGATTTTAACAATTAGTAACTCAGCAGGTTTACTCTCTTACTGCACCTGATGCTAAGTCTGGAGTCTTTTCTGTAGTACCCCTGAGCTGCTGGAGGCTGAAATGTTAGCCATTTCAAAACTGCATAGTCTATTTTTCTGCGCATAAAAAGCAAACAGGCAAGCCTATGAAATTCTGGGTTTACTTTGTTGTTTGAAAAAAGTAAGTAAACATTTCACCCTAGAGGTTGAACTATTTTCCACCTCTACAAATTATGAATATCCATTCTCTCATTTGACCACTGTTTAATAGGAAAGAAAGGTCTCTAAATAAAATTTCTGCAACCAATTTTAAGGATACCTTTTACTTTTGTACACAACTGGCATAAGAGCAAGATTAAGATCTCTTCATTGTACGCCATTAGCATTCCTCACTTCAAAGACCACAACCCCAAAGACAAATAATTGCATGGACAGTCAATAAAGGCAAAGGTTTATATACAGCTTTATTAAAGCACCTGCAGCCATAGAAATGATAGCATGTTCTGATTACCCCCACAATTTCAATATGGGAGCATGAATTTTTTTTTTACCTACTTTTTACTAAAGTTATTTCTAAGAGCAATCACCTTGAAATAAGTATTTTTGACTAGGGGATGTGTATCAACCTCTTAGGTAAAAGAAAATTAAAATTATAGTATTTGATGCTAGAGCTGCTTTAAAGAGCTTTAGAAGAGTATGTAACTTTACAAACACTGAAGTACCTTCTCCTATGTTTATATACAGAGAGAAAAGAAGCCACAGGATTAGGTAAACCCCACTCAAGTCCAGAACATGATGTGTAAGGTCCACATTTAAAAAAAAAAACCAAAAGGTACGTGGATTTTAGCTGTTATGTTTATTAACAAACCTAAATAAGGAAACAAGTTTTCAAGAACGGTAATACCTCTTTCTGAAACCATCTGAAATTATCACTGACTCTGAAATCAAGCTTCTTACTAAGATCTTTAATATAAATGTTGGTGTCTAAGCAGCTGTTTTGTGTAAATGTTGACCTAAGTTCCACAAATTAACTAAACAACTGCTGTGTGAGTTTTCTTTAAAAAGTATGCATAACTTAGTAACAAACATGATGCCATCAATTGGAAATCAGAAAAATCAAATGTTTTTTTTCTTCTTCTTCTTCTTCTTCTTCCCGGAATGACATCTTATCATTCAGCTGGCAACTCAAAAATACCAAGGTTTTCCTATAGTACATACAATTTTAAGTTAACATCAAAATTTTATGACTTAAATCATACAGGCAGAGTCAAAGCTCCACACTTTGGACAGCATTTTCCACTTTTAGTAAATTAAAACTTCATTATATCCTAGGGACACATTCCAGCAAAGCAACTAAAATTGTTTTTACAAATATCAAAACTGTGAAGTTTTCAGGGTTGTTTTGTTTTGGGAACAACAGATCTATAACATGAATTCTGCTCTTCTGACTCCCAGAAAGACAACACTGCAGCTTACACATATAAGGCAGAGTCAGAGGAGAAAAAACAGCATTTAGTCAGGTAAAATTCTGCACGGCCTTAAACCAAACACCAGACCCTCTCTCAGTCGAAGACACCATTCATTAAGTGTATAATCCGTGTCTCTCTAAAGAAAGGCCAACAGAACAAATAGTGACTATAACCTTATCCTGACGACAGCAGAAAAATAACATTACAGTAAAGGACACAAGGAAACAAGTATGCATTATTGCTGAGAGCCTTAAGTGATATGAAAATAATGTGAACATAAAACCAGCAGTCGACGGTTTCTGATGCTGAAGGAAACAGAAGCCTTTGGATATAAAACGTACTGGGAAAAAAAGAAAACTAACACAAAAAGCTGGTAAAAATTTCTCACATAAAATCAATTTCTCGGAAGTGTATAATCAAAGATTAAAAAAATCCCTTCGTGGGGAAAAAAGTTTGCACTGCATATAGACAGACCCTGCAATATTTCCTCCTAGTCAGGCTGTTGCTGTGATTAAAAGGAGAAGGAAGAAGTTTTTTTCTTTTCTTCAGCCCTTAAAACCCAAGCAGAGTTTATCAGCTTCCCTATGAAACGGCATGTACAGTACAATAACCTGGAAAATGTAAAAAAATGAGACAACACCTGCCTGTTGATCAGCAAACAGCCTTTCAAGAAAGTGATATCAAATCACTTGTGGCCAAAGGATTCTCCCCGATACCCGAAAGGCTCCGAAGTCTCTCCACCAACTATGACCGCTACAGGTCAAAGCAGCCAGTAAACCTGTTTCAAATCACTTCTGTCCAGCACACTGCCTGTGCATAATCACAGCGAAAACGGGTTTAACAGAGTTCATGCTACAACAACATTGCAAGCTGCTTAAACAAAGAATCGCAACCTAATAAATTTCACTTTATTTCTGTAACATTAAGGTCACCATTTGCAAATAGTTTTTTAAAAAGGCGTATCGATAATAATGTTTCCCCTATGCTTAAAATAGAAAATCAATGCAAAACCAGTAGTGCTAGAGTTAATCTCATTAATAACAGCAAATTTAAAGTGAGTCACCTTTTTGGTTTAATAATAGATAAACCATTACATAAAAATGTAAAAGGTATCATGAAAAATGAATGAAATATAACAAGAGAGAAAATGCCGAATATTTAGTCAGCATTCATTTGGACAAAAGGGAACAAAACTCTATTGTAAATTCATTCCTGGGTATATAAAAAGCAATAAAGATGCAACAGAGTAGACCTGTATCTCACAATTTCAGTGACGAGCCACTCAAATTCTGGCCCAGTTGTTGTGTTATGCTAGTGCTGTTTATGATGTTACAGTACTTCTCAGCGCTCTTCTGGCCTGGTGACGAGATTTTTCTTTTTTTCTCCTCTACACGTTAGCAGTTCTGACACTTAAATGAGGTAGCGCAGTTGAGGACATGCAAAGGGGTCTCGCTGCAGCTCAACGGGGCGAGGGACCTTCGCCGCTTCTACTAAATGCGCAACGTACTGCGGCTCTGAAAAAAGAGCCAGTATTTGCCGTTGCACGTCAGCGTGCAGAAGAGTTGCCACGATAGGGTATCGTCAGTAGTTCAAGCACCCAAATTTTGATTTCCAAGGGGGGCCTGGCAGAAGGCGTAAGTCTTAACTGGAATGGAAACATACCTTGTGTGGTTTTTAAATATTGTGTTTCTAATGTTGAAATCCCAGACATAAAGGCCAGAAGCCAAGCAAGTACACCTCACTACAGTAAATGAAAAAAGCTTTTAAAAGCTTAAAATGTTAACGTAAGAATCGTTTGAAAAAAAATATCTGATTCATCTAGAACACTATGAACATCTAGGCCTGAGTCCAAAACCACTGAAGTTATTAGGATGGCCTCCCTCTATTTCAACAGGCTTTGGATAACGCTCTCCGTTTCTGTAACTCTCGAACAGACAAATACATGCAATATATCATCTCAAAGCAAACTGAACTCAACACGTTTCAGCGGCAGCACATTCATTTAAACAGCGCCATGCCTACTATATATGGGAATAAAGTGTTCCTCTCAACGATGTAAACCCGATGTATTCTCAGGCTATAAATACCACCAGGATTCAAAATGGGCCCTTCCCGACCAACACATCTCTGACAGGCACGGAAGATGGGTATCTTGTTTTCTCATTTATTCACCCAGCTATGTCACCGGCAAAAGCGCTAACAAACTTCTACTGGATGTCCACCTTCCCTTGTCACCCAAGATGACCTACGTGCCATAAACGAATACTTGCACTTACAGACCATGAGATCTAATCTGGAATTTGCGTATTTAGCCCTGTGTAAAGTTGGTCTAAATGCCAGCCTAGTCTCGTGATCTAAGAGCATTCTGCAGTCACTTCACAGGGCGGGTGGAAGAGTCAGGCATTAAGCCTTCAACCGTGTAGTACCATATGAACTCATTACAGAAAAACAGCACTTTATGACAGCTTTTTTAAGTGTAGTCCCCTTCCTTTTGTCATTGAGATGGTATGCGGAGGAGAGAAATACCATTAACACTCACGCATAACTTTCCAACAATCTTTCCCTTACAAAAACCCCACGAGTTGTATTTACTGTGTCTTTCTCGGACTTACGGTAATTTGTTGATTTTCACACATGTAAAATACATAAGCTTATGCAATGTGACTAGGTATGGTTCATAGAATCAAAAGGATACCCCATCCCCTCATTTCACACAGAGTTATTTTACATTTACATCTCACTAGGTTCTCTGGAACTTCTGTCCTACAATCTCACACTACAGAACGCCTCACTGCTCCTGACTTACAGCCTGATCTTGCCCAGGAATTATTACCAGCCAACACTGAAATTCAGACAAACTTTTCTCAATCCGAGTTGGCTTCCACAGAATAGTAGAGCCAGTCTCTGAAGGAACCCTGACCATTGCCCTGTATTGTGTCTGCTGACTGGATTTTTAAGATTTGTGCCAGGAAGGACGCTCAATGACGAAGATTCACAACCCACTTTCCTGCAATAGTACAGGACAGACATGGAACATCATTGCTTTTTTAATTATAATCATTAGATCTTCTCCCTGCAGAGATTATACTTAGCACTAGTGCTCTCCAGATTTTCAGTGTTTCTATCTCCGGGGCTGTAAACTGCCCCCATTCTGCATTCAGAAATCTCAGCACATCAAAACTGCGTACATAGATCACTGTTATTTAAAAGCTTTTTGTTCCCTATTACAGGCATTTCTTCTCTTGAGCTAAACTGGAAAAAATTGTGAAATCTAATGGTTTCCAACCAGCATTTACAAATCTGCAAACGTGTGAGAGTTGCAAATTCCTTCTGGGCACAGATTTTCCCCTTAAACGCATGTGTTGCAAAGCCTTGAAAATGAGTATGATACTGCATCAAAATAACATTTCGCTTGAGATGGTTTGGTTTACCGCTGAAATCCTTGTTCATACATTTTCTTTTCTGCGTGCGTAACCAATTTTAGTATGTGTTTATAAAACGTGAAATCCATTACGAGCTCCAGAGAGCTGAAAGCGTGATCTTTTTCGCAGCAGCGGCGCGCGCCTCGCCATAGCGGTGCCTTTTTCACCTGTAGAAACACCGTCCGCAGAGAGCAGCGAGTCCCTTCCCTTCGCTCCTTGACCTCTCCGCCACGTCCACCTCTCAGTTGGCAACCTCTCGGGTGGGATGCTGACGGCGTCACTGCAGGCAGACCACCTGACAGCCATGAGACGGGAATGCTGCGCACGCGAGTAACGAGCGAAACGCGTTGCTGTCCGCCGCTCCTCCCTTGGGCCCTCCAGTCGTTCATCCGCTCCGGCTCGGTACAGCTTCGCGAGTCAAGGTGAGGTTTGCACACAGAGACGTAAAGGAAGGGATCTCCTGCCTCATGTGTCCACGTGTGCCCGCCAATGTACTCTCCTCCTTCTCTCAATAGAGAGTGCCTTCTTTGGAGTTCGTTTCCTCAATTTTATTTGGAGAGGACATTTATGCGGGTATTGCTAGGAAATCAGCAAACCCAGCTGTATGAGAGCCAGTTTGGTAGAAATGCTTCTTAGGGAAAACTGAATTTTTTCCACTTCTAAATTTCCTCAGGCCTTAGAGATCTGGGTGGAAATTCTTAACTTTTCAAAGACAACTTCTGCAAATATTGTACTTCCAGTAAAAACTCAATGTCTCTATTCAAAACAAACGGGAACGTTGCTTGGTTTCTACTGACCAAATCTAGCAATGTATAATTTATTAAACTTTCAAAATATGTAGACCAATATAAAAAAAAAAAAAAAACTATTATGGCTTGTCATTTTGGGCTAGAAAATGCTACCTATAATCATAATGTAATTTCATTTTCATTTTATATGTATACCAGTCCTGGGCTGGGGGAAGGAAAAGCTCTTCAGAGTACTGAAATCATTCCAAGGAGGAGATGAATTTCAATCTCACATTCTACCTTTCCTACACAAACAGGAATGAGTTGGTCAAGGCACAAAGAAAAAGCACAGAGAAGACAATTTCTTTAACAATATCTACGCATTCCTAAAAATGTAGTTGTAAACACTGAGGAGAAAAAGAGGATTTGTTAAGCAATATGGCTGTAGCTAATTTTGGAAGAATTATATCTAAAATTATATACCATATTAAACGAAGGAATACAAGGGCTTCAATTGTAATGACTCTCACATTACATGAAACACTGACAACACAGGTCAAGACTTCCACTTTTCTTTTTGACAGATTTGCAAAATGTCACCTCACAAAGCAAGCATGGAGTACAAAAATCCTAAAACTTCAGCAATCATTTTTAGTACATTATTACTATTAATGTTCTATTCATATATGACAACGTAAATAGGATATGGAATTTTAAGAGGCAACATTTATCATTCTGTTACCAAAAGTTTTCATATTTTTGACTTACAGTATCTTAACTTTCTTATCTCCAAGAAAAAAAAAATGTACTAAAATTTCATACCACAAAGTTTTACATTGTTTATATCACGTTTTTAAATTCTAACCTTAAATTCAATGAGTTGGCAGGTGTTGGGGAGGAAACACATTCTAAATCCTTCTATGCAGCCAGTAAAAAGTGTTACATCCCAAAATCAAGTTGACAATCACTGACAGATCTGAGGAATACAATGGTGTGCTTAGAATACAGCAGGGGAAAAAAATGAAACTTTTTGCAGTTCCTTGCAGTAACGTATATGGACACGGGTGTTAGCACAGTAACTCCGTGAATTACTCACATATATATGTGAATTACTCAATAAGAAACCACAGAAAGTAGACATGAGAAAGACTTCTTTTAGCTCACTCGCTGGGACCACTCTTTATGTAGATGGTGAGACGATGTTGGATAACCCAACTCTGCTACAACCCACGAAGCAGCAGCAGAGGCGGCACAGGGAAGGAAAGGTCCTAACACGCAGAAGATTTCTTCAGTCCCGCAGTAGGAGGAGCTACTTCTTGTAAAATTGCGTTTGCTAGCAGGTCCAATACAGCCAACATAGCGTAAACATGCATTCACGTCTTCCACGCGCAGCCTCGGCAGCCTTTCCCAAGTTACCGTGCAGAACAAAGCATGTGTTTGGTAACAGCAAAGTTTAAGACATTTCAAGTTCTTACTTCAGTTAGCCTTTATACCCTAAACACTAGAAACATGTTTTGCAATAACTAGTAACTCCTTACACACACAGAATTCCCTCCAATTCCCCTTTTTAGCACGTAAGGAATGCGGGATCAGCCCTTCAAAGTTCTTCTTCACCAGAGGCTTGAAAACCCTCACAAGTGGAACAAATACAATCTAAAAAGAAACTTCTATCTCCCCCTACCTGCAGAGTCCTTCGTCCTCCTGCCCCAGGGAGCGATCATTCACCGAAACAGCTACCTCAGGTCGCAAACATGAAATAAACTCAAATCTTACAACCTGACATAGCCGCAGTATATCCAATCATTCAGACTGGAAGTGCTGGAACCCCTCGATGATACCTGTTATTTAGCGAGCTGAGACATTTAGCCTAAGGGGTTTTAAATACACTTTGGATATGCCTTTCTGTACTGGTTAAGCAGCAAATTATCTGCTTTAACTGACTATGTCCCAGCAATGGACTGTCAGACCAACAATACCCACCAAGACACTGAGTAAGAAATCTGTGCACAAGTCTCTAACTTTTCATTCTCTGAAGGAAAGAAGCACAAGATGATAACGTGTAGCATTTCCTTTTTCATCAAGACCCCCGATAACCCTTGCAGATTTTTCTCATCATGTGGAGAGGAAAATTCTAAATATACGCAGAAGAAACTGAAGGTAAGTCTTAACTACCCACCCATTCTTGAAAATTGTCTTTTACTGTTGTAGGAAATGGTATCTTACAAGACAGATTTACTAACACAAATTCATTTGAGTTTTGTCATCATACATGGATAACACCTCTCTAAGAAAGTTCAGGTTTGGTTTTGAATGAAATAGAAAATGCCTATAGAGAACTGATACTGCTTGGTAGGTTTCCTGAAGCCTAAGGATGAGTTAAAAGCTTTTATTTATTCCTTATCAGTAGCAATCACTTCTTGCACAGATAGGCCAAGTTCGCTGTAACTGTTCTACTTCCAACTGGAACGTAGAGGTTGGGTTCAGCAATCCGAACTGGACGCCTACCTCGCTAAACCCAAACAAACCAACCGGTACCGTAACTCCCCACACTCTAACTTTGTTTCTGGTTTCCCCTGAGTGTTAGATCCTTCCTAGAGCAGGGTTATGCGTGGTATCAAGTGTGTTTAGGGGGAGGGGACAGGAGAAGGGGAAGACAGCTCACTGTACGTCAAAGCAAGCCAGCAACCTAGCAACCATATATTAAAAGGTGTGTGTGTTTTTGTGGGTGTCTCTGTGCCAGGAATAACTGGAGCAGATATTATTCCATTTGTAATCCAAAAAATGTGAAAAGGGAAGGGGAGAAACTCCAGCTGCTGGTCTATTTTGGGGTCTGTCAAAATCCACTTTCACAAATACAGAGTCTTAACACTTTCTATCCCATTTGTCTAAAACAAAAATGAAAGTCTGGACCTCAGCAAGTTCTTGGCTTTGGTTTGAAAGAGACCGTTCAAACCAGGAGCCGACCTCACTTTACACTTTCTTCCAGCTGGTAATATGCAAAAATCAAAGAGGGCAGAAAGGTTGCATCAAAGATTTCGCACTTAGGTTAAAAGAATACTGGGCTCGTGCATTACTTACAAATGCACTGAATACTTTTTGATATCTACACTTCATTTATCAACCAGAAGTGTCAAAGATTCTCGGGGAGTGGAACTAGCTTTAAAAACATTTACTTGAGTGAGAAGTTTACCTTTTTAATTTTGCCAAAGTTTCTCATTCCACAAGAGAACGAAGACTTTAGATCGGTAAATAAAAACCCCCACCCTGCCATCATATGTGGTCCTGGGGTGCGTATCAACTTCAGAACCACACCGTCCCACCACGCCAGCATGCGCCTCGTCGAGAGGGCAAGCCGGCACCAGGTGTAACTTCCGTGCCACCAGATGAAAGCGTGGGGTGGGAGGGAGAGAGTGGGAGAGGGGGACACATCTCAGGGCTGCACCCAACGCCTCGCTCCTCCAGCCACGCTCTCCATTTTTCTCTCCACGTTGTGGCTCCCGACAGCCCGTGGCAACCCTACCACGACAGCACACTGCCATGCAACAACAGCCCTACGGCGTCTCCTCCAGTGCCACCTCGCCCCGGTGTCCTGGTCTATGCCTGGTCTACGAGGCTGGGCTCCTATACTACTCCTCCTCACCACCAACCACCACCGCACCAAACCATAACCGGCACCAGGAGGAGAAGGGGAGGGGGAGTTACCTTGTTTTTGCCCCCGCAGTGGCAGCAGACAGTCCACAGGTACTTGAGGGTCCTCCACAGCAGGATGATAAACAGTCCCCCAAAGAAAGTGACCATGGATGAGGCGAGGAAAGCCCACCACATGCGCTGTCCGCGGCTATCGCAGGGCACCTCCATGGTCACCGGGATGATGAGCGCATCCATCTTGGGCACATTGACGGGGGAGGAGGACGAGTCTGTGTTGAGATTGTTGGCGTTGATATTGTTACTCATTCTAATGCCGCC